TTTAAGTCTAGATCGTGTAGGTAAGATTCTGTGTATTAATTTATAGTTGAAATGAGCAATTTTTTCATATGCATCATTGAATTCACTTTGTTTTTCCAACACAGCGGCCAGTCGATTGTGTTGATTTGTAAAGTAGTTTCCCATTTACTTTGAGCTTTTGGTACAATATATTTGTCATTAATGAATGACAAGTAAAAATCTTTAACTTTTTGTTTTTTTTAAAATAATAGTGTCGTTGGTTTGACATTCTTTTTCACCATGTAATACACAAACAGATTGGTTTAAAATAATTTCTTTCCATATTTTCGGAATTGCATTAATTAATGCCACATATTCTATTAGTGTTTTTGGCGTTTTTGACAATTTTGGAATTATCTCAGCAGTGATGATATTGTTTCAAGGTTTTCATGGCGATATCCATTAATGATTGTGGTACACCACGTAGATAGTTCTAAAAAGAACTGTTGTTGGTTGAGAATGTCTCGACGTTTCGATTGAGTTGCTTCCATCGTCTTCATGAGAATAATATCTGCAGAAATTCCAAAACAGGGAAATACTTATATGTTTGGGTAGTAAGACTTGAGAGAGACAAATAAGATAATCATCAAATTATCGAAGCTGAAAGGAGTTAGGTGCATTGAATATTAAAGCAAATATCTTACTGATAACGAAAAAACTGGCTGTTAAGAATTTTAATTGTGCAAGAAAAATAGGCTTATACCGTTGTCCATTTTAATGCTCAAGAAAGTCAGTAGTGGCTTGATGTTACATAAAGTAAACATTTGAATAAGATATTGTTGTTTTAGTCTATTGTAGTTGCAGTGACATGATTATTTCACTGCTAAGAATTTATCCCCGTCGACTTAATAGGGACTTGCCTCGGTGTTAAATGACATATATCCCTCGTTTCACTGAAGTGTTTCTGAGTAGGGGTGTCCCCGGAATAGAAGTATCTTGATGTGATGATATTGTTTCAAGGTTTTCATGGCGATATCCATTAATGATTGCGGTACACCACGTAGATAGTTCTAAAAAGAACTGTTGTTGGTTGAGAATGTCTCGACGTATCGATTGAGTTGCTTCCATCGTCTTCATGAGAATAATATCTGCAGAAATTCCAAAACAGGGAAATACTTATATGTTTGGGTAGTGAGACTTGAGAGAGACAAATAAGATAATCATCAAATTATCGAAGCTGAAAGGAGTTAAGTGCATTGAATATTAAAGCAAATATCTTACTGATAACGAAAAAACTGGCTGTTAAGAATTTTAATTGTGCAAGAAAAATAGGCTTATACCGATGTCCATTTTAATGCTCAAGAAAGTCAGTAGTGGCTTGATGTTACATAAAGTAAACATTTGAATAAGATATTGTTGTTTTTAGTCTATTGTAGTTGCAGTGACATGATTATTTCACTGCTAAGAATTTATCCCCGTCGACTTAATAGGGACTTGCCTCGGTGTTAAATGACATATATCCCTCGTTTCACTGAAGTGTTTCTGAGTAGGGGTGTCCCCGGAATAGAAATATCCCAAGGTGGTTCTAATGTATTATTTCTAGGTTAATCTGAAATAATGTTTAGTGATAAGGATGATAATAGTGTTGGCTAGTATTATCCCACATCAGGTATCACAATATACATTGGTCCACTGTAACACATGCAGGATCACTCTTCAGCATTATGAACAGCCAAGTAAATGTCGAGAGATGAATAAAGTAAGTATAGCATTGAGAGAGTGCAAATAAATATCGTTGGGGGAACTATTTAGTTTGTGTCGTGGATTTATATACCTATCCCAGCTTACTGAGCCCTCTTGTGGTCGAAATGCCATTGTACCTGAGGATGACTTGTAACTGTGATGCAGGTCAGCGGTTAAATACAAAGCACGAACCAGTTGACAAAGACGTAATACAAATATAATAAACCTTTTCTACAAGGAAGTAAATTACTATAATTTATGTTTTGCTATAAGTAATGGAAATATAGACATATAAGTGAAAATTGTGTTAAGTAGTGATGAATTTGTGGTGAAGCGTTGGAGGATGTGGCAATTTATTAATATTACACAAGTTGTTCTATTAATTTACAGCATTAGACCTGCATACTGTCAAGGTATATTTTTTTAATTCCATAAACATTGATAGTTTGATTCAGATATATTTTTTATTTTTAAATTTGACCACAGAATTCTAGAATCTTCGGTCGGTTTTTTTTTCTTTTTTTTTTTTTAAACCAGCAGAAGAATTAAGATCGTTCTCTTTTAATATATGTTTTTGTCTTGTACGGTCACGAATTTATAATTTTATACTTTCACATAGCCGGATATGGCTGGTCAGCATTGGGCGCGACGTTAATAATAAAGTAAAGTAAAATAATTTAATAATAATAATAATTCTGACGGGCTTAGGCCTATTTGATAAGATGTGTTTACACCTACAGTAAGCTGAAAAAATGACATGACAGAATGTGATTTTAATTTTCTTACAATTAGGCTGTAGTCCAAATCCGTGTCCAGGTGGCAACATGTGCACTGAGAGCGGCAACACACACGTGTGTACATGTCCTGATAATTTTTACGCCAGTGTTATGGACTGCCAACTTTATAATCGTAAGAGAAAAATTTATAATTTTCTCCCGATCAACGCCTACCAGGCAAACAAATAATGCTGAAATGAACCCATATACTGTGAATAAGTTAAGTAGTACCAAAATCTTTAACCCTCCACATGGAGGCAGCGGTTAAGCAAAGTTACACAATAATGTTATGTGTTGATATAGTCCTATTCCTAAATGACGGTTTGTCTACTGACTTAATTCGAGATTTAACATTAATTATGATATTATCTAGTCATATAAATTATTGTAATCGCAATGATGGTAAACAAATCAACTTATAATTATAGCGTCCTATATTTCTTTAAGCTTGTTCAAACAATCCCTGTTCAAATCCACCAACATGCAGTTCATTCACAGTACCAGTTGCGTATCAATGTGCTTGTACAGAATTCACGGGGAACACGTGCCAAGAATATACAAGTAAGAATTCACTGTTATTTGAACATTAATAAAACTGCAGTGATTAAATTTAATTTGTCCAAAAGAAAATTTCATTAAAAATGTCATTGCTCATAAAATTACGATGAATATAAAAAAATACATCAATATAAAAATTAAAATGAACATACAAGATTATTATGTTATTAAAAAAATAAATACGAGAAGTATTAAGAGTAAACAAAAAAAATGGAAAGAACAACTATAATTCAACCATGGAAAAAATATAACTAATTATTGCAAAAAGAAGAAATATGAAGTATAGTAAATATCAATTTATGTATATTATAGAAAAATATGTTGGGTATTTAAAAATTGTATAAATAATATTATAATTACAATGCTATATATTTGCTAAATTATTACGAATCATAATTGTAAAGAAAATTACGGTATAAAATTATAATATAAAGATAGATTGCGTGTATTATGGTATACAATGGGTGTTGCTCGATGAGTTAAATTCAAAACTTGACCATTCAGTCGCCTACTGAATAAGAACTAACTGCGTTATCAATTGTTATTATTCTGAAGGAATGTGGAAAAAAGAGTTACAATTCTTACACCCTTTTTTATGATGTGTTTTTCTGATATATTGTGAAGACATACCTAATATATTTTTTTTTAATTTAAAAGGTTTAACTATCATTCATTTTATCATCATTGCAGTATGTACTAATAATCCTTGTCGTACTGGCTACAACTGCACACAGTCAACTGGCTCTAATATATTTAAATGTTCCTGTCCTGCTGGTTATTTAGGCGACAACTGTGATGTATATAACGGTAATAATTGTGAACATTATTTTGAGTAGTTAATTGCTGTTCTATCAATTATCTTTTAAAAGTAAAGAAATTCACTTGAATGTATTCGTTTTCTTAATATCACAGAACGATAGCAATAATGCTTAAAATTGTTATACTAATCGTATACTAAGTATGAATACTGTGTGCAATAATAATGTATAGTAAAATAGGTTATATTTCATTTTTAGTAGTATCCACTTAGCATAGCTCTTTGTGATTTGTTTACAAAATCATACACATTCGGCAGAATGCAGTTTAGAAATCAATAAATATAATAAAATGTACATCAATGGCACCGCAAATAAACTATCGCTTACATAATCATTTTGCCGACATCTTATAACTTGTCACTGAATTATATGTTGTGGTCCAATCAACTGATTGTATCTTTAACTTGATTCCGATTGGTTAATACCATTTATTATTCTTCATGTATGTGTAAGATCACCAACGTAAAAGATAGCAGGAGCTATCGAAATATCCGTTTGATTTTGTTATATTATATATATAATATATATATATATATAATATATAATATAACAAAATCAAACGGATATTTCGGAGATATAAATATATATACATACATATATACATATATACACACATATATATATACATATATACACACACATATATATATACATATATACACATATATATATATACATATATACACACATATATATATATACACACATATATATACATATATACACACATATATATACATATAT